GGGAAAAAAGTAAATAAACGGGAAGAGGAAAGAGAAAATCTCGAGCGTGACGCAGGAGACACTTTTTCGACGTGACAGGCCCGTTAAATTAACGTCTTTCCCTACTAGAGAGAACTGCACTGCTCTCAGGAAGTGAGAGAATTCGGTAATAGGACATGACAAGGCGTTCAGATGCGCTAACGAGATACACTGTATAAGAGTGTACACCGTGAGCATTACAAAACAGTTTCGGTATTAAATAAAATCTCTATGTGATATGTGTACTGAACGACGGGAAAACCACTAGACAAAAAATAATAATAACATGAAATAACATTATCGGAAAGAATTAGAGGGTATGTTTCATTCGTTATCAACGTCACTGTACACTATACATAACCAGGGTGATTGGCTAACTATGACCCAGAAAATTAATCTTAGTGTTATAATTGTTTTCGCAGAGTTCTCACAAAAAATCGTTTGACAATTTTGTGTTATAAAGCTTACATTAAAAAAAACAAATTATTTAATTGTCTGTTAGCATTCGTTTGACTACTATCCACTTTGAGTTAACATTTATACATAAAAAATATCGATCTGCCCGATTGTTTATTTGCTTATTATGTTTTTTTCTTTTGCTATTTATACAGAAATGTCAAATAAAACTACCGAGCATTGTACTTTGGCTTATGTACGACGTAATATAAATTGATAAATACAAAATAAATAAATAAATTTACCATGTTTAGTGTAATAAAAAAACTACCAAGCTCGATAAATAATGACTACGGAAGGAAGCTAATTTATATTAATTGCTAATTTATTCATAATTATTATTTGTGCATTGCATTACGATAATATACCTAAGTAGTTTATCAATATTCATAAATGAAATGTAAATGTTACAGCCATCCGAAATGGAAAATAGGTACTTACTATAAAAATATGTATAGCAATTTTTCAAAGTATTGCTACTAAATCAATTATACTCGAGAAAAAAACTACTTCATCAAAATAGAACGGACTCTGTCAATCATAATATGCAATTGTTTTACCCTTTTGAGTTGGGTGTGTTTACACTGTTAATTCAACGTCACTGTACCGACTGGAATGGAAGTAATGTGTATATCCTTGAGACTAGTAAATTTTCCAAAACAACTTTAAGGGACCATCTTTATGTGGTATTTTGTAATATTACATAAGTACATTAAATAGGCTTCTAGGTATATAAATGACAGGTATGGCAAATAATAGTAACCATACTCGTATCAGGTACAAATAGATGGTATATCGATAAACAATAATGAATAAAATGTTGAAAAATTAACATAATTTTGTACCGTAGATAGTTTAGCAAATTGTATTTATTGTCCTTATAAGTCTGACTAAATAAATAATAATAATATAAGATTATCATAATAAATATTGTTTACAGAAATAAATAACAAGCACTAACAGTGACTATTACTAATCCTACATTAAGCTATTACGTATACATTGTGTACCAGTATATATTGTACAGAATTACGTTTGGAGCCTATTTTGCTGATTGTAATATTTCCATATTAGAATTTAGCTTCTGAATAATATTATAGTATATTTATTATATCAACAACAATAAACAAACAATACAGACAAATATAACATCAGTTTAATATTTAGTGCTGACTGTATTTTAAATATTTTATAAGTTGAAATTTTTATTTTTTTTTAATGACATCTTTTATAAAGTTATATTTGTAAATAATAAAACATTCTCACAATATGTTGTTTTGTTAATTAAATACCGGATGCCAAAGAAAACAATTTCATAATACAATACAAAAAATAAAAATGCACTTCTTGGTACTAGTAGCAGGACATTGAATATACGTCTGTCTTCGAGTGTTCTAAAAGTTTTATTTATGTACATCTGAAAACCACTTCCCGGAAAGAAATAAAAGAAAATAAATGTATAATAAAACAACAAAAATTACAACTAAAAAAAAATATTTGTATAGTTTCAAATGTTTGCACTATAATTATACTTGATTCAACTATTTAACATTAACCGTGCAGCGTGTGTGTGTTTTAGTTGACACAGTTAGACACCTTCACTATCTAAATCATTTAATTATAAAATTTGCATGGCTACTTAAAGGTATCATTTCGATACATATCGATTTGCACAATAAATAAACAACACTTTAAGGTTAGCATACTATACTCACTGAGAATAAACACTGACTCACATGTGGGATAAAGTTTTTTACTAACAAGTAAATTATAGCGTGCGAGGCGAGGTCAGGAATGTTAAGTATCCTTTTATGCGTTATTTTTATATTTTCCCTAGAGAATATCAAGTTCATTTACACCATAGGGGTTAGATTTGTCGAGTGTTTGTCAACCCTTCAGACACAGCTTCATTAAAAAGAAATACCATCATTGTCTGGAACAAACGCCATAGGGGATTTTTCACAGCCCAACCGTCGCTTCGTTCGCTGAATACCAAAATCTAAAACTTAGCGAATTGTACAGTTCGAAAAAAAAACGCCTGCCATCTATCCCGGAATTACTATACCTATATGATGAAATGTTGAATTCCTTACCGCATAACTATATATATATACCTACCATTTCCAATTAACAAATTGTCTCACGAGGCACGTAGATAGGTACATTTAAGAATGTGATTGAATGTAAAACCGTTATTTACAACAGAAGGCATTTAAGTATTTTTTAACTTATGGTCTTCTTTATTCTGAAATATTAAAAATAGGAATATAAATTTACGAAAATAAGTTCGTTCTACATCTCAATATACTTACAAACTTGAACAATGAGCTTAGATAATATGTTATGTATTAAGTTTAATGACTATATTATAAATCCAACGAAAATAAATTCAACAATAAAGAAATGCATTGATACATAAACTACTAAATAAACTAACATATTATCTAATATTAAATTACTCAAAGTAGATTATAATAATATGGAACACACAAAACCTATGCATTTTATATGAATACTTGTTTCAAATTTCAAATGAACATACAATTTTACCATAACCGTAATATTTATACAAGTCGTTTTATACGATAATTGTTTAGTGTAAAAATAAATACTCGTATTTAATTGCCAAACCAATGAAATTCATCAATCATTGCGATGGTTAATTTTTCATCGAGGATTATTTTAAAATTTTAGGTTAATGACACTGACATATTATGAGTATTATAGTGAATTGTCAATAATCCTCTTTCAAATGTACAAACCACTAAATCTGTCAATCAATATATATATATATATATATATATATATATATATATATATGTGTGTTAGGGCTTAACGATCGATATTGTTGACTGAAGCAATTTCGTTCTGTCCCCAGTGGCAGATGGTTTCTAGTTGGATTAGCATGAATGGGACTAAAGGTGTTGACCATTAATTATATCGGGCAATAGCAATCAGTCGACTGGCCCGTGGTTATAATAACTATAGTCCATAACGCAAAAGAGATGCACAGACGTACAGAGAGGTAGACGGGGCATAAGTTAATGACGATAAAACACAAGAGGTTTTCCCACGGGATATTTGCACGAACTGATTAGGGAAATATGGAATACTAGGGAGAACAATGAGCGTGGTCCTAGGGCTCATTGTTTTCGCTTGGGGTGATAACCGTCCAGAATTTGGACCAGTGCATGGGCAGTCCTGTACTGATATCATACTCATTCAAATGACACACAGCCTGACCGTCTACACCTTCTACAGGCTATACGTGTACAACCTTTGTAAAATATAATAGCGCATTCATTCATTTATTTGTCCTATATCATCAATTATTGAAATATGTGAACAATACATAATGATAAAAAATGTCAAGCCATTGCTTCTTTTTCAGGCCACAAAAAGTATTTTACAAAGCTAACATAGTTAATATTATAGATTACGAATATTAATAGCAATAATCATAATGTTAACTATTTTCTCATTGATATTTCCAACATAGTTTTAATCTTACTTTTTAAGAGTGTACCTACTAATTAATATCAAAACACTTTTTTCTTGTCATCAGTTCTTTCATATTTGTTAATTATTAGTATGTATTAAAATTAAAACTTGTAGTAAATCTGTCCTGTTGGTTGATTTGATGGATAGTTATTATAAATGTTGATCTCGGTTTGAAAAAAATTGATGACGTGTCAATTTAATAAATATAAAAATTTCTACCCAATACATATCATTAAACAATCAATGCGTCTTCAGCTACTCGTCATTACCAAAAATGTTAATAATGTTTTATAAGTTTTTGGTTTTTAACACATAAAACAATTAACATCAAAATAATTATAATATAAGTAACAATTATGGCGTGGTTTATTATTTTAATAATTTCTAATAATAAGTGTTTTAATTATTACTAAAAATATTCCTTTTTTTTACATTTTACGTCAGACATGATGTAGGTTTATCAAAACTGTATACCTAAGTATAATAAAAGCTAAGCTTCGTACCTTTTTTTTTTAATACTTCTACGACCCACGGTAACGCGATAGCGGCTTAATTTACCCAGAGAACAATTAAGATTGTATACATTATTTTATTGTTTACACGTAGGTACCGTAGTCAGGGGCCTTTAATTTGGATTGTATAGCATTTGATATGCTTTTTTAACGGCCCGTACCCCGTGCGTAATCAGAAAAGAAGTAAATGAAAATATGGCAAGTTAAAATTATAAAAATCAAGTTGTAAAATTATAATATTTAATAAATAAATTGCTGTGTATAAAACGTATACTCAATTAGGTTTTAAGTATAAGCCGTAAGAACAATAAACATGTTTGTAATCATGTTTGTGAAATCCAGATATCCGTTTATTCAAATTAGGATTTCCGGACTTTTTACAATTTTGCTTAACCTAAGTTAAAGAATAAAACTACTATTACAAAACGTGGATATACCTACGTTCGCTTAAAACAATATTAATTGTTTCTTATTGAACATAGAAACACAAAAATTGGAATGCGAAAATCGGGATGATTGGTCAAATCCAAATTTATTAAATCTGAATTTGTCAAAATTAGATAAATACACTCTTTATTGTATTATTCCTTCGTTGGTAACAAATATTGGTATTTAAATTTTTACTGGATAAAGTGATGGAATAACCTTATCCAGACTAGATTCATGATCCTGACAAAATACATATTTTAGGACTAGATCCAAATTAATAATACAATTAAATATATACAAACAACAATGTTATTATTTCAAATGGCTTTGCTGGTAACTTCATACAATTTGTTCATTTTTGTATCGCTGTTAGAAGAAGTATTCAGCTGATTGTACCTCTGACCATTTCCCCTTCGCGTAAGGTGGTTTTTTTTCTGTGTTTAATACATAAAGTCCACTAGAACTGAAACACAAATAATTGTAATTATCCACGAAGTCGTGTCATCAAGCGTAACACTATGAAGTTACATACACAATAGAATAGCGATAATAATATCAAAAAATTAAATCTATAAAAATATTGTTTTTACTGAAAAGTAAATAACTATTTTACATATTATTATCTTATTTTATCATTAAGTCTATATTGGTTATTGACTGATAATTAGATATAAATTATTATAGTTAGATTTATGGATCAAAAAATATACATGTTTAAAAGTTTAAATATTAAATACTGCCACAGATTTATCGGACCAAATATTATTTTTAAAAAAATACCACTTGAACAAATTATAAATTTTGATCATATTGTTATTATTAAAAACAAAAATAATCGCCATTGCAAAGTACAAAAACCGTATTACTCAATATAAATAAGACAAAATTGTTTTCAAAAGAAAACATTTTTATTTGTATAGAGTTAATTCTTGGTATATTTTACAACTACCATACGTCTTATGACAACATATTATAATAATACATATTTATTAATTACTTTGTCTTGCAAAATTCTCCCATTAGTCGAGGTTTGCCTTTAGGAGGACATTTTCCGTCATAATAGTCCGATACATTTGAGCACTCCCATGCCCAGAAACCTTTTTCCGTGTTAATACTTTCCGCAAAGTACTCAGGAGCCATATGGTGGTTACATTTAATAGGATCTGAAAACAAAAAATATCATTCGATCACATATACATAATAATATGAAGAAACGTACTATTATGAAGTAAAATTTAGAACACCACATTTTGAAATCTTATGTTGATGTGATTGAAATAAATGACTGATTAAAACTTTAAACCCATGTAGTAATAATATTATGTGTCATTAAAAGATATTACTTTAACTTTATGATCTTCAGTAAAGTTAAATGTTGATACATTTTTATCATACCGATACTGAATTTGTAGTAGTAATACATATAAAGAATTATGCTTGTATGTACGATGAATGTACACAATATTACATTCATCTGAATAGTAGGATGTCATACATTAGGGTATGCTTACCCAAATTTCGGAAAAATCAAGTCGGTATTGACGACTGTGAGTAAAACTAAATTATTAATTGAAAATAATAAACTTATACTTACTACTTGCGTTGACGCAAGCCGGTTGTGAAGTTCCTCCGTTAACATAGAAATCAACGTGTCCACTCGGCTTTAGTTGTCCTTCGACTAATGCATTTGTATGAACAACATCTACAAAATCTGCATCGGCTTTACTCAACTGTCTGTTTCTATTCCAAGAGTAAAATAATGGTAAAGCTGGGTCCAAACCTACAGATAGGGTAAAATTAATAATTGTTAATCGAAACAATTCGTACCTACGTACCAGTAATCCGCGATAGCCTCGTCGGAGCTAGTTGAAATGATATTTGACTAGTGAGATGTGCACCTAGGCTGAATCCTAACAAGTGCATTTTGTCTGCGGGATCTATTGCCTCCGAGTGCTCTAAAATGGCCTTTACCATGTCTGTAGCGCATTTTCCGACCGATGGAAGGTTGTACACTGCTGCTGGATAGCATACCAACGGTCCAGCTGATAGTAGTGCATAATCAATCATCCAAACATTGACGTCTGCATTTTCAATGTATTCTAAACAATTATAACTTAACGTCAAACTCGCAAAACAAGTTTTATACAAGTGAAATCTATTGAAAAGTTATTATATGCTTCGGGTCAATTACAAAGGCGTATAACTCTTGGAATACCTATCGATATTATAAGGTAGGTATACTTTGCATATTATTAAAAAATTATGTCTATAAGTCTGTTAATATGTTTGTTTCAATTAATTTTTCTTAAATAAATACATCTAGACTACAAAACGACTGTTATTGATTGTACAGTGTATTCATTAAGGAATTATCGCGTAAAAAAACAATATTTTTGGGTCTAATGTACATACTAGGTATAACAGAAAACTTTTTCAGAGGTCCAAAGAATAAATCTATTCTATTGTTCCAATATATTTTTTTCGATAAATAGAAATTCTCAGGTGTGTAGGGATCAACATGTCTGCTATAACTCGACGAGATACAGCAGATTATATCTTAGACTCTTAGAAACACCGTTTGTAACACACACTACAGTTTCTCAATTGGGAATACCAAAGAAAGGACATGCTTACTTTAAACTTTTCGTGTAACTCAAATAAAAAAAAATAAAAAATATTCCCAAATCGTTTGGTACAAACTTTGGAAGCACGTAAAAATAAAACGATTTCTATTTATCAACTTCTCGAACTTATTTCAAATCTTAGTATTTTTCCATCTACGTGAATTCAAAAACGCTTAGGTCGATACCCGTTCAAGCAACTAAGAAGTATCAAAAAATAATACAAAACAAATTTTATATAATACGAAAATCGTTAAGTATACTTAACTAAATTCATTTGCAAACATTTTAGTATAAACACTTTAGTAAATAATTCAAAGCAGATTTTAATAACAATATTGTAATTGTAAGCTCTGACCGAAGCCTAACTTTACGAATATATAAAGTATGAAAATTGTAAATTATCACGCCTTAAATAATTTGTTACGAATTAACGAAGCATTTTGATTTTTCTGGTGCATAAAAAAAAATCTAAATATTCAAGAGAAAAATTTAATTTCAATGAAATAATAAAAAAAAACAACACATATAATATATGAAGAAGACAGTGGTGATATTGGCATAATATGTAGTTAAACATCTGATAGATTTATTTGTTTATAAAATTCAGCAATGTAAAAGGAGTCGGTTATAAAACGAGGATAACGAACTATCTTCTTCGCACTTGCTTTTTCAAGAGAAATATGTATAAGTAAATACTTGTATACATTACCATTCTTAATTTGTTGAAGTTGACTCAATTTCCAATTACTGTTAAATCCATGTACAATAAGCTTATTAGGCTGAGCGGGTTGAAATTTTGAATTGGTTATATTTTCTACAGTAACAATATCTGGATCAAATTTGTTTAGTCTGTAACGAATAAAACCATTAAATGTTAAACATTTATAATAATTTATAATGTTTTATTTTGAAACATGTTACAAACTTAACACGAACGGGGGAAATATTAATTCATTATTTACAATATTGATTTATTAATTGTCTACTTAAACCACATTATGAAATTTATTACTAACGAAATCAATGATTTAACATATACATTATAAGAAAGATAAAAATAGTTAATTAATAATCCTCAATTAAAACAAGAACTAATATTTGTATACCTTGTATATAAATAAAATTTGATTGTAGGATCGGGACAAGTAGGTTTAATGACTAAAACACAAGGTCCAATTTTAACATGTTCGCCACCAAGTGATGCGACCAAAAGAGTCATAACAAAGCCCATTTTTGTTAAATAGAGCATGCCTGGAAAATATTAAAAAATTGTTTTAATGTAATATAACGGAATTAGTGTGCAGTAATTGACAGCTGACTTTTTAATTATATAAAAATGGGAATTAAGGTAGGTTCAGCACAATCTTGGTTGTAGTATGAACCAGTGTGTAGGCAGTAAAGAATATAGTTGCTGTGCCTACGACAATTGTTGCTAACAGTTTATTTGTCAACAGAATTCGAGTTCTCTAGTCTAAGTGATAAATTAAGCGTCATTTCATATAAATTATATTCTACAATAAAAGAAATGTATTTGATCGGAGAGGTGACAATAGGGTTCAATGTCTGAAAAACATTATAAAATATTTCGAATGGTATCATTTTATTCAGTGTTGGACAAATTTTTAATAAAGAAATTACCTTTTGAATAATGAATGAAAATCGTAAAAGTGACATTTGAAAACCATTTTGTTATCAGGCACTATTTATCAACAAAGCCATTTTCTATTATTCGTCAATTTTTGAAAGAGGTTTGTAGAGAACTAATGAATATCACTCATAAATGTGAAATAAAAATATAATTATTTTACATTACAGTTATTTAGATACTTATACCCTATTGGTTTTCAACACTCTAAATAGTTAATACCCCGACATTATTTCTAACTCTACGGCTAAAGATAATATTTAAATTTATATTAATAGATAAATTATTGACTTAGATAATTTCATATTTATTTCAATTAAATTCATAAAATACGATAAATAAAAAAAATATATAACATACAACAATTATTATCTTATTTGCTTATTTTATTCATAAAATAAATTATAAAAAAAAATAGTTAACGTTTATCTAACACTGCAAACTAAAGTATTTGAGATCCTTTTAAGAAGTTAAAAACAATTAATAAAAAATTACAAATATAAACAATTTTTCGCAAATAACCAATATTTATGTTTAACGAACAACAAATAACGAGTACTTTTTAACACATGATGAAAACGAATACATAAGTACTAAAAAAAACTAAATAATGAATTATTAAACGAAAGATTATGTCTTTTTATTTAAATAAATATTATTCAAATAATGCCCCAGAGTATGTTTTTTCCCAAATGTATGATAAAAACATATTTTCTATCATTGGTTTAACGTTTTTTAACTTAAATTCTAATTATTATTCAAAGACGCAATTTGCAAAGGTTATTTGTTCCATTTTTGTTTAAATTCAAATACTGTTGAGGTAAGCATATTGCATATTTGCATATAATTATAAAGCCACGATGTATTCATGATGTTAGCCTTCTGTAGCCTGATTGCTTGCATCGTGTAAGAAACAAAACGAAATAATCGCAATTACCTAGTTATTTTATATTAGTTATCATTCAATAACTCAAACACAATTATTCAATTTTGCAATTAATAGTAGTTGGTATTAGGATATTATTAGTATTATTGAAATTATCATTTCAGTCTATAATAAGTTTATAAAATACAATTTAAAACTCTAAATTGTTTTAGATCATAATTAAAGTAAATTATAGAAATTATGCAAACAACAATCGGTACAATAGTATAATAACAAATTTAGTAGAAAGAACCATGTTGTAGGAATCTATCATGTCATTTCAACTCTGTTTATTGAATAGATACAATTAACATAAAGCAGAAAATTTCCAAAAGAATGTGGGTTTTTTTTTTAAATAATTGTTTAATTTTAAAAAGAATTATTAAAAACATTTACTTAACTTTTATATAAAATAAAATTTCTTTGTGTTTCTTAGTGATTATTGTAAGACTATACTGACCGCCGTGTTGTTGCAATTGATTTACAATTGTGTTAAACCGGTATTGTTGTATTCGTCAGAGCTGCTGATCTTGAGTTACACATCTATGTTTTTTTATTAAAATACCAGTTAATTAAAAATTTTAAAAATGATTTTACAAAAAAAAAATTGTCGACGAGCATCGACAACTGGCAGCATTTGAGCGTGTGTCGGTACTGAATAACCAAACTATTGTAACGCTTACCTGTTTCTCATAATATTGTGATTACAAATGAGGTCGACGGTCATAGACAATCTTAGCAACGACTATACTTTCATCTTATACCGCGTGATGCAATTAACGAAAACACTGTAAACATTCTGTGAAACTTAAAAACCCCTAATTATTGTGACTAAACCTATTCAATGTTATTGGTTGTTTATTTATGCGTTTCTTAATTTATTTATATATATTATACTCATTAAAACGAAAACGGTCAACTGAAAACATTGTTTAGCCTTTAACGGATTTTATTTATACTTGAACTCTGTCATTTGTCACATTGTAATTTTACGGTTTACGCTTAGGTGTACACAACTATTTTCCTAAGCTCAATGTTCCCACCTAAAACTTGACGTACTTGAAGTCAAGTTTATTTTTTTCCAAACTAGTTATCGCCTGTTTTTTTTTGCCACGCGTAAAATTGTTGATGTTTATAATGAAACGTACGTATTTAAATTGTAAGTTCATAGTCGCATTTTAATCGTTCAATGTTTTTAATCCTGACTGTATATATTATATATAATTATTTTATTTTTATTTTTTTATCGATTAAAAATCGTATTTACTTTTTACTTTATGGGACGGATGCAAGTTTCAAAAGCTCTTTTTTATTTTCCCGGTAAAACAATTTAAATGACGTTTAAGCGTTTTAATTATAATACTAAAAGAAAGTTTAAGTGAAATACTAATTTAAAAGTACAGTTTTGGTCAGTCACAAAAAATTGTTTACAAAAAGTTTACTGATTATGCGGAGAATATTATCCTTAAATAATCGAAATTAATTAAAGGCTGATTTTTTTTTTTTAACAAAGAAGATCAGTGATTTGTTGAAAGAAGTGGCCTCGTCGACATATTTGGTGGGTGGCTGTGTCAGTGACTGAAATAGATTAACTGAATTTTGAGAGATGTGAAAGAGATAGATTTAGTAAAAATCTAAAATACAATTTGTGATATATTTGTTATTGTGGCGATACCATTCATACGAAATAATTAAATAAACTTATGCTGTAAATATTTTTAAAAATCCACAAATTAAAAAAAACCTCAACTTAAATAAAAACCCACTACATAAATTAGTAAAAAACATACTTAAAAATGTTTCGTGTAAGTATTGGGGTTAATATTAAAATGTTCTTTCTTCGTTCTGTTCTCCATTAATATTCAGTTATTAGATATTCAATTTTGCAATTTATTAAACAATTTTTAAGTTCAATCGGTTTTCATTTATAATATTTATTTTAAAACTATTATGTGATAGATAGAAATGTCAATTTTATTGTTACTTTGATACCAAAGTTGAAACCGAGAACAAGATATTTAAAAAAATAACTACAAACCAATTAAATATTTTTCAATTTTGTTTTTTTATTATCATTGTAAATATTTGTAACTATAGTCATAGTTATTTTTATTTTATTTTACCATTAAACTTGAACAATAATTTTTGTAGGTCGTAAACTTTTTGCATCTACTTCAACTTATCGTAGGTAGAGGAAGGGCGAATAATACAAGTGAATAATTAATGTGTAGTTAGACGTAAGAATCGTGTACACTGACTGACCAAGTCTCCTAATTTTATTTTTTATCTATATCAGTTTGAATTAAAAATATCATTCAACTCTGTTATAGACTAATTATCATAAATTCTATTAGATTATAATATATTAAGAGCAAAGTTTCTTTTAATTTTCAAAATATTTAAAACTAAGTTTAATTTAATTTAAAAAAAAATTCAATTAGAATTAGGTTTATTAATTCTGCGCTTCGGTCACAAAAATATTTTATTCTTAACATCTCGCCCAGTTCATTTTTAATTTTTTTTTTTTTTTGACATTTACATTTTTCTCTCCGTGTAATATAAACAGTTTTACTAAAAACTATCTATTTGAAACAAAAGAACTATTGTATAGATCTAATACTATTATTTTATTACATAAACAGAACAAAAAAATAAATAAACAGCTATATAGCCTACATTATTAAATGTTTTACTAATCTTAAAATACTGGCAATACTGTAAAAGTTATAGTTTTACAAATAGAATATTAAACTTTGGGCGACATAACTAATATAATTGAGATCTTATACACAAGGACATCTATAACTAATAGTTACTTTACAAAATATCATGTTTGTCTGTCATGTATAGCGATGGAGTAGAAGCGAAAAGCACCATGATTACTTGATACTCTTAGCAGTGGGGTATTTATGGGGGTGGTGAGGATACGGAGGATAGATCGCACCCCTTGACCTTTGTTTTTTGCAGTTAAGTTTTCCGTATTTCTCTGTATAATATTACTTTTAAGTATATATGTTTTCTAACTATACTAAGGCCAAGGAGCAGGATCGTCCCCTCCCTCGTAGAAATACGCCACTGACCTTTAGTTTCTGTGTAGGAATAAATATAAAAAAAACTAGCTCTAGATAATATGTAATTATTGACACGACATGAATAGTAGCACCGACAGTATCAATTATGTTATTTAACGGCTGTACATCTAGCACGGGGTTATCGGTCAGTATTTGTAACCGGGAAATTTAGTAGATTTTTTTTGACTGGAATTTTCGATGGTGTTGTAATAGTAAGGCACGGATTCTTGGTTTCCGCGTTGCGGCTTCCCGTGCACGTCGATGATCTCCACGTCCGGGGGCAGTTGATGCAAACCGGAAGCTTGCTGTTGCGCAAATGCCAAATCGTTAACCATCGTATCGCCCACTAAGCTCACGGGCCTGTCGACGGCGCCGGCCGGGGCCAGCACTAATTTGCTGGGGCCGTGACCTTGACCGCGGTTGTGGTATAAGTTGGGCTGGTACGGCATCAACAAGGGTCGCATGTTGTACGGCGCATACGGGCGATAACTGGTCGCAGCCGCTTGGAACCGATCGTTGACCGTCAAAGGTTCGGCTATTATCTGTAAAATGACCGATAAATTGTAGTCTGGTTAACAACAGTGTGTAAGCCCAAAGTTAATCTGAAATCGAATTGTAAATGTCGTTGGCAAAAATGGTAATGCATCGTTACGGGTACTATTTACACAAGGTTTAGTCAACAGAGCCAATCGTTGTTAATAATCAGTTTTTTATTATCTATTGTATCTTTTGCACGTGGTGTTCGATGAGTTTGGAAACTTTTGAAACCGGTTTCCAAACTTATTAAACCCTTGATGATAGGTGGCGATTGTTAAATCCAACAGAACACATAATAATATAGGTCGTGTGAAAATATGAAAATTAACTATTCGTTATTATATAGTAAACCTGTAAATTGTAATTTTGATGTGCAAAAATTAAATTAAATTACAAATATTTATTTATGTATTGTGTATGTGGTTCAAGTAACAACTCAAATGTAATACTTACGTTGAATCAAACCGTGGAAATCGGTAAAAAAAAAAAAACAATAAAACTATTCAGTTTCAAGAATTTCCACCGTGTATAATATTATAGTTTTATGGAAGCCATTTCTGAGTTAGATGATCAAACAATGTTAAACATACTTTTTTAATGAAATCAATAAAAACAATTCCAAAGAAACGGTTATAATAACTTGCGTTATTTACATATACACTGCACTAGTAGTTTAGATTTATAATCAACGCATTACTTTAATAATACAATTATTTAAATATTTAATTAAAATGTATGATAGGCTTTAACAATCGCTGTACATTATAATTTTATCTACATAGTCATACGCATGAATAAATAGTAGTTAGTTTTAATTTTAGATGACTAAAAAGAGATAATTTCTTTATAACCAGAATATAGATAAAAAAGAAATTAAGTTATTTGGTGCCACTTACATATTATATAACAACTTTACTATACATACATGAAATATAGATACATTTTAGCCGAAACGACACTAAAATAAGAACAACTCCCGTTTAGCACTACTTGAAGAATAAATGAGAGAGAAATTGTACATAGTTGAGTGGTACAGACAATTACAATTATTAATATTGTTCACCACGACATCATCCTGTTTCCTACCAATTAAAATTAATAAATTAGTAATCGAACGATAGCAGTCACCGACTTGTTATTTTGTCCAGCATATTATTTTAATTATATCAAATATCGTTCGTATTATATTTATATACTTTGGTAATAAATGCATAATAATACCACGACGAATTTCGGTAAACCCAAACAAGGCGTACATTTAAAAGTTATTGAAATTATGTTTTCTTAAAAATACGACCCTATTAAGAGCTGAAAAGTACGTCCAATGAAAAAAGTGTTGTTAATTTTTGTTTTCGCCGATTGTTTCGTTAATCCTATAACCGTCGACTTTTTTTCTGTTATTAATGTTAAACAACACTGCGACTAGTTAATTTGAATTGCAACATTTTTTGGAAATATTTTTTTTTTTTTAATAATGTCTTTTCAGTTTAAACGAAGCTGTGTTATTGATGGTATTTTGTATTAGCAACTCACATAAAAAATACAGCAAGTTTTTGCCGGTCGTCAAGTATCGGATTACAAAGACATTACAATAAAACAGTAACAATAGCACGAAGATAACCCATTTGAAAGAAATATGGGTAAAGAAAATATATAAGCGATATCATATAATACATATTACAATAACATTATATACTTACAATATAATGTTAGCCATTTACACCAATAATTGTTAATACTACAGTTAACGTTTATATTATTTATTATGACTATGTTTATATAGTACCTATTTCTAATTTGTTTACGTTAAATAACATACATGTTATTCATCGTTGCGATAGGTTAAGACATTAGCGAGAGAGAAGTACATTTTTAAGATAATTGAACACCACAAAATAGAACACTCGTCAAAACTATACATTTTTGTAATCTAGCAACATCTTTATTTGTATTTGAAATAACATAGTAAGTGTTACGTATTTGTGTAAAAATAAAAAATGTAAATAATAAAAAAAACACCTAATAATCTATTTACGAAATACAAAAAAAAAAATTTAACGATTTTTCAAACATTGAACATGATAATATATTTTGTCCAATAAATTATACTTCCTAAGTTCTAATATTTATTTAAGTTAAGATCTGCTAAAATCATGCAACAAATACATTATTATTTCTACATTAAAAAATACTTGTTTTCTAGTAAAATCATTTTGATTATAGCTATAGTTGCTCTTTTGATTTGCATTTAGTCATTTGGAAGCAAATTTTAGATTTCGTTATTACAATATATTCTCAAAGTAAGAGAAAAAACAATATTAGGGTTAAAATAGTTATTAGGGTATAATAAAGCAGAGTTAATAAAGTCAAAAAGTAAATTTGTAAATAAATTGAAAGCATTGGTAATATTTACAAATATAATTACTGCTGAGATTTATATTTAGGGATTTCGTTAGAGCTATCAATAGTTTCAATTTCTGAATCCGGATTAGTATTGTCTACCTTGGAAGGGCTGACACTGTCAGTTGCGACAGATGGATGAACCGGATCAGGTTTTTTATCCTCTGGTTGTTGGGGTAGTGGTTCTTGAGGCAACACGTGAATCTTTTTAAAGTGGAAGAAGCTTTTGTTGTTATCGTCTCCACTGCTGTAAGTGGTTTCATTTATCTGTACAACGTGGCCGTCAATAATCTAAAACAAAAAAACAATTTTGATAAAAATTAAACAATATTTCAATTCATCAGACACCTTAGAGAATATCATATTCTGTAAAAAACAAAATGCCTCGAATATCAATTACAGTTTACGCTAATATTAAATAGAACTACATAATATTGGACTGATCATATTGCTGTGGAACACTTTACATGTGCCAGCATTTAAATAGCATATATAACCTTCCGATTAACACTGGGCAATTTACTGACATCTGAAATACAACTATTGAGCATGATCTTTGACCCTGTATATGAAAAAATGGCATTACCTCAGTTCTGGTTGTGGTCTTATTTGCTGGTAAACTCGGTTCCACCTCGTCCGTGTCGGTTTTCGTTATATCGTCAAAATCTGTTAGTTCTTTTTCAAATTGCGACAAAATACCTAGAATTTAAATTTCAAAAGTTATTCCCAAAAAAAAAATACATGATTACTTTAATCAATGATAAAAACATGTCTGACGATGGAAGCGTGTTAAACAATTACCTGTCGGCTCTGGCCGAAAAGCATTAAGCAAGGCGCTGATTAATAACGGAATCGGTGTAACTGATGTACGGTTGGACGAAACGGTAGCTTTTGGGTTTATTATTATCACTTCGGGTGCTGTGAATGAAGCGGTATAATATGTTGGTTAATTTTTATTTAAAACGAGCACAGTGAGAGACGGTTAAACAAAAACAATCATGCAAATTATGCGATGTTAAAAATTTGATATTATACATAGTATATTTTCAAGTATCTACCTCTGAATTCTTGGTTGTAAGCCTGGAACAACCTGTTGAACGGCGAATTAAACATTGGGAATGGCGAGTAGAACATGTCCGATTGTTGTTGGGGCAATGGGAACCACTGTGGGTTAAAACTGGGGAATTGCTGCGGGCGGACATTGGTCTGTAAGGTGGGTTTTTGGGGTACTTCGTCGATTTCTTGTTTGGCAGAAGGTTTTTGTACATCCGCAGGTTTTTCCTTGACTACATCGTCAGGTTTACTAATCAACACATCATCAACGACCTCAGGTTGTACGGCGGTTATTGAATCACCTGAAAAATTATTATTATTTTAAATATTAGTACATTCCGTAAAACATGACTATTCGTGGTTAATTGAACTATTATTGTTATTAATCTGTAAGACTTATTATTGTAAGACATCAATTAAACGGTAAACGTAATCAGTATATACTCGGTAAATCCTAAAACACACAGTGATCATTTTCATACATACTATAAAAAATAAGTTGAAAATTATTTAAAAAAAAAAAAAATTAAATTTTTATCGTTAAATTGTAATGTATACTACGTTAAAAATTCATAAATCAGAATTGTGGTGTATCCATATTGTGTGAATGCACAATTTGTCACTGCGAGCAGTCATGGCAGCATAACATAATATTACCTACGGCGGACAAGATATTTAGAGAGAAACATAATATGAACTATTTGCCAAAATAATATGTTTGGCTGTAAACCGGATTTCAGATACATGACGGGAACTGTAAATGAGGTTTAAAAACAACACGCCCTAATGTATGAGCAATTATTATACAATCATATTATATTCTAAATAACACGTCATTCTGAAACCATTGTTTTGAATAGAATACCAAACACAGTAACCTCATTATAATAAGAATATAGGCTCATACATGTATAGATAGTAACGATTCTTTTTTTTAATTTAATTAGATATTTATCAGCATTATATCTATTTTTCTAATTCATGTTGAAGATGTATACAAATATGACAATAGTAATATGGTAATTATGTTACAAATGACAATACATAACAAAACCTAAATAAAACTGCCGCCCAATTTCTACTGCATACAACTTAGTCAAGGTTGAGTGATGTGTACTTTGATATCAACAACTATACGAGTCATATTAATTTATAAGCAACTCAATTTTATATTGGTCATCAATCCTTCAATCACCCTTTAAGATTTTTAATAATTTCTTCTTATATACATATATATATATATAAGTAATACATATATACTAATAATTTGTATTAGTTTACTTTGCCAAATGCCGCAGCAGCAGATATAGTCATAGTAATAGTATAAGTAAATACGAAGATTTAAAATTTGTATTTTAATTTAATTTTGTTTTAATATATATATAAACAAAATATTTGCAAATAAATTGTGTTAAACGTCAAGCTATAAAAGATATATAAATATAAATATTCTCTAAGAATATAAAATATATCGAGATATTTCAAAGTAATAATTATTGTTGCACATTCGATTACTAATGATAACTGTAGTTAAATACATAATATTTTACATTAAACGGAAGTTATTGTTTATGTTTTTTTTTCTTGGATATAAAATATATAAGAAAAGAAAATCCAATTACATCAAAACAGTAGATAAATATTTGATTTGAACGGCTACTTTTTTTAGTTAACGTACGATCTAGTTGTGTAAAAGTATAAAAACCAACGAGGAAAAAGGAAACGTTAAAAATCCTTCAAGCGTAAATATAAAATGGAATATACAAACATATTTTAATTTACTATGGGTTTATATTAGTTCTCAAAGTGAGGAAAACTTTCAAGGACTCCATTATTGAATGGCATTACAAATAAATTACTGCACTCGCCGATATGGTGTGAAAATTGTAACAGTGTTAATTAGGATAATTTAATAGTTTTTATAATTTGTATAAAACAAAACGTGTAAACGATGTATTATTAAATAGCAATTTTTAGTCCGTAGAAAACTTAAAGGCGAATATTTCAATTACAATTTATGTCTTTTATGAATAGTTGTAAAATAAGTTTAAATTATTTGAAGTAGTTTTTTTCCAACTTAAAAAATACCATAAACGGCATTACTTTTTTAATTTTCAAAAAATAAGTGACCACTTAAAACTAGTAACTGCCTAACGTAGTTTTTAAATGTATTTATTGATTATTGCTTTCTGTATCGCTTGTTAAAAGCAAAATTGCATTAAAATGATCGGAAACTATATTTTTCAAAAAAAAACGTAAATCGAGGGTCAAACATAAGCAAAATACAGATACTGTGATAGGATGATACTGTCTTTTGGTGACTAATATGGTGATAATAATATAATGAATGTTCACATCCTGCTATATGACGTCATAGTCAATGAAACGAATCAAAATGCCTTTTAATAAATATTAATTACAACGTACACTACCTAGGGGACTGTCAAGCTGAAAATGTTTGGCACGTTAACAATATTATAATTCGTCTAACTTGAGAAACGCAAATTGAATAACGATTCCAATTTACTGAATATATTGATATGAAATACACGAAAAACCAATGTGTTTTGTATGGGAGACTTCATTTTTCATACTTTAGATACAATATGTTTTAGTATTATCCAACTGTGCTAGTATAAAGAGATGATATTTTTATTTTTCATACCTATTCAAGATAAAAATCAAACAATAGTCCTCAAAAACAATGTTAAGAAAAAAGTGTTATAATAAAACTTACTTTTAAAATGTAATATTTTTTAATTCTTAAAATTACTCATTATGCATACAGTAATGTTTTACTTTATTTTTAGTTATAGAAATAATTTTATAAATAAATTGTAATATTTTCGTTAAGACAACTGCACTCGAGTACAGTCGATGTATATAGTGATTAAAAATGCAATGGTTTTTTGTTGGGCATTAAAGGGAACGGAAAGATCCGTATAATTTAAGTGTATACATAGTAAAACTAAAATGCAAAGTCACTTTCTAAAGTCTCAACCATTACCATTTTTTATCATACTTTCACCATAACTGAGAGGAAAAAATCGTTTAAAGTTATTTTACTAGAAACATGTAATATGCGTTACTCTTAAATTATTTGCCACAAGTATTGCTTTTTGTTTGCCCCTTTAAGTTCTTCCTAAAAAAAAAAAATACTACACAAACTACTTAAAAAAAAAAAAAAATACTGAAATAAAAATTCATTGCACTTCGAGAATACTAGTAATGCATTTTGTACTCATTTATTTTTCCCACGTGGTATAATAATAAGAGTTATGGCCTACAGTAGAATGCCTTACGTAAAACACGGAATAAAATTATTCAGACCGTCATAGTAGTTAGCTATTGTATTATGGTAGGTAGATAGTATCGCAGTTATGTGAGTTTCCATTATATACTCATATGTAACACAGGTTAACATTGATTTTTGATAGGATGAAACATAATGTTGCTTAACCATGATTAATTACCAAATGCCTTCACATGCGAAAGATTCCATAATGTACCGTGCAACATAAAACGGAAGTACGGTTAATTAGTCTCTCGCGAATATTCTCATAGGAAAAAAAAAAGCAATGAATAATAACCGCATTTCATCCAAACATTATAGCTGTTATTGTTTAAAAAAAATAACGTTCGTTAAGTAATGGGTGCCGTCTACCTAAGAATTATTAAAATACAATTTTCGGATTTTTTTTTCATAGATTTTCCTTTGATCCTGTCATCACTTTTCCACCTAACCTAACCTTACCGTATCTCTCTCGATAGCAACACTTTTTATCAACAAAATATATCGTAAACATTGAACAAATTATGTCTATATTATGTATGTATTGTAAATTGTAGTAACAAAACGAGGCTAGTGGTCGCGTTTAGTTATTATGGAAATTGCGTGACTAAAATATAAAGTACATGTTATAAAAAATTTAAAGCGAATAGATAAGAAATGTATTTTACTTTTAAAGAAAATTAACTCTTAAAATATTTTAAATTAAAAAAAATATATATAATAAGAAATTCGTTGTAAAAATTAAGTATTTTTCCTTCATTTATAATTTTGTAACTATTACGCGAAATATAATGCAATGCATTTTTAATTTTTAGCAAATGTAATTTTTTTTAATTACAAATATTTCAATGAAAAATATTTTCCATCACTTTTATAAGATTTCTCGAAAACAACAAAATTATTTTTAATTTACAATGGACGGTTATTTGTACGTCGAATAAAGAGTAATTAATGGTATTTCTAAACTTTAACGGTGTTCACGAGTAGGTCCAATGCACAGTAGTGGTAAATATTTACAGTACCGTAAGACGTTGGAGCCAAAGTTTATTTTTATTTTAACCATCACACCGTTAATGACTACGGAAGTATTAATTGGAGTACTTAAAAATATCTTTGATTAAGTTTTTTTATGGGGCATTACTGGAAAAAAATTTAAAAAAATATATTTAAGATCGTCGTTATACTTTCAGAAAATTTTACTACTAATGCATTGTCAATTATAACAGCCAAAGAGCAGCGGTCTTGAATAATATATCATGGTTAATATACCTACGTATGGGTATCCTACCTATCATAGGTATGATAAGTTAGCATTGGTCATATTATGCGAATTGAGGTTCTTAACGGTATCGATATTGACTATTGTGACACGTTTCGATCGGTTGATTTATCGTTGTAATTTCCATTTAAAAAAAATAAATTTGCCATAACATTGTAAACGTTCCCATAGAAAATACTAGACCTACAGATGGTGTTATTAAATAAAATTACCCATCTTCGTATGTATTATTTTGTAATGTATCCTTTTCTTCGCATATGGAATACGTAAAATCGTTATAATATTTAATACAAATAACATTCAATACGAGCTGCAGGTACACACGCCCATCCCAACACATGGATTCCGTTGGAAAATGTTCTGGAAATGTCCCTCGGCCGTTGTAGTGCATAGTAATTGCACTTTTAAGAACAGAATACAATGGACATTAATAATGCGTGCACGTCGTTTTATGCGTGTACGGCATTGCAATACACCTACGCTTATAACGTCGCTTTAAAATATATAATAACTCAAATGTAGTGATCAAAATGAAAAAAAAATGTAAATCTTTACACAAAGCGTATCGCGATGACATTTTTTTGGAAATCGGGCAACGCGCATTAGAACATACCTACCATATTATTCTGTATTATACCTAATAAACAGGCCGGTGTGTGTAGCAATGGGGTTTTAATTAAAACATTCTATCACTGCGAAATTCCTCGGGAAAAATTCCTATTGCAGAAGATTATTATTAATTACCGTGTTTGTCGAGGATCGTTCACAGGGGAAATCGGGACCAAGGAGGCGACCCGGGACGGACGAAAGAGACCTTGCTGCCGCCACCGACCGGAATGACAATTCTGTTGTACAGGCACAATTAAATGCATAGTGCAACGATAAATATCATTCGAACGATAACGGTAATAATATTTCGACGGTGTAATCGATTGATTTTCACCGACAAAATGGTAGCTTCGACCGGTCTCTGATCCGCCGAAACGACCTTCTAGAACGTTCTATACAGACTATGTGTACTAGTACGACGACAACAGGTAAAAAAAAAAAATGAAAAGAGCGGGTGCAGCTGAGGTGTAAAAAAAAAATCATATTTCATTGTACACGTCGCCTTTGGGGTTATTACTTGGATGATAAAAGAAAAATATGCCGGACGACTACTTACCGGTTTTACCGTCGGACGATGCCTCTACCGGCACGGCTTGGACGGCCGACGCGGCCAACAAGGCGACCGCTGCAAACGCCGACAAAAACGCCAACTTGGCCATGTCGTTTTCCGGGTTTTGAACGATTTGAGAAAAATTCGCCGAGTTAAGTCACAGGAAAAATAATATATATATATATAATTTGAAAATACAATTATTGCGTTTTCTCGCGGCGGCTCGTCGTTTCTGTTCGCGTATCGATAGTCTGTCGTATACGGGCCGCGTCCGTCCTCGGGTCCGCTATATAAACGCGTCCCCTCTCCACGTCCATCCGGACCGTGCATCGCGGCTGCCACGATCCACGCACCACGATAATAACATCAACAACAACAACAATAATAATACTGGTATATATATACATATATATATATATATATATAATACTGTACGCGTAATAATATTAAAAATAATAACACACGTGAACCGGCGTGCCCGGTTTTCACCGCAGCGGACCGCGAACGGCCGCCGTCGACGATTATTATTATCATTTAAATTGTTCATCGTTGTCGTTGTTGCTGTTGTTGGCTTGCGCGAGAACCCGGGCTAAATTCGGTATCTGTAAACATGGAAATTTCTAGAATGCATCTCGTTTATGCAAAACGCTCCGTTATCGGTTTTAATAGCTCTGTCGGCCACCGGCTGGGTCTGCACCTCTATGATGTTATATCATTGGAGTTGTGCAGTCGTACACGTCGTTTGACTATACAGTCAATATAAAAATATAGTCATTATAATAATATTAACACCGATGATTGTGTTCAGGCATTCATATGCACTGTACAAGATACAAAATCTACATCGTGCATCCAAAATTAGTGATGCGCCTGTAAATGTATACAAACTTACGTTTTTGTAAATTACACTGGTAATACATGTACATAAAATATATATATATATATATGTTTGTGTTTTGACACATCTTTTTGCACGTCTATGATTGTGTTATGTATGTATCGTACCCAGGAAGGACGCAATAAATCACCGTCCGACGAGCTCTGGAAAAACATTGTTTACCTTACTACGCGTAAACCTCCCCTAAGACTTAAATCTTCTATTAAACATAGTGCAATAATATTTTTTTCCAAATAGTTTACGTCAAAAATTTGGGGTTATACCGTTGTATCGCAGTTTTATTGCAGACAAAAAAAAACAATATAATCCTTTATTCTATTTAATAATGGCCGTTTGAATGGCATCTCAATTGCTCTCAGAGGACATATTTCAGAGAGAGAGGGGCCTAATCCGAACACCATCCCGGTCGTGTAACAGTATTGTTATTAGCCCTACTCGCGAGACCCAATTCCAAACGCCAAGCTTGTAAATACTTAATTCAGCATGACCATGGAAAACCAATGGTGGTTTTGGTAGAAATCAAATTCTGTACAGAACGATTGAACGGCTCTTTAGCTATAAGTAGTTTTGTTAGGCCTTCTAGTTAGGGTAAGCTTACCTAACTGTGCATTGAAATATAAACTATTAAACTTTTTCTTTTTTTCCCTTTCTTAGAACAGAAGCTTAGCTGTTAGCCTATATAACTCATATAATACAAATAGTAGTACAAAAATACAATATAAGATATCACGATATTTACACGAACTCATGCGTACAATATCTTGTATGTATTTGAGTATTTTTTTTTAGTGTTGTGTATTACCGACCTAAGGCCTCAACGTTGTGATATCTCCAAGTAAATGGAAACGTTCTTTCTTGTATTTTGTAACTACATTTTGAAAACATATTTACAACGCAAACCGTGTGTGCTTCGCAGAGAGGTTGAGACTGAATATTGTATTTTATGCCGTTTGCCTACAATATAAAACCATTTTTAAAAATATTTTATTCTAAAAAAAAATGTGTGATAAACAACAGTTGACATTGATCGATTGTGATTTTGATAAAATTAGACACACACAATTGTTACCTAACCAAATGGCGAGTAATTACAAAGAGCCGATAAAAAAATATGTTTAATTTTATGAATTCAGATTTAAAATTACCAGCAATTCACATTATTGTTGAATTTGCCATAATGTAACGCGTTAAGCCTTTTTATAGAAACATCAAAATGGTAATTTTCAAGGTTAAGTATCATTGTAATACACTAACGAGAAAATCAAACGTGAAGTACCTTTACCAACCAAATATCATTATTATTACAACCTTACTGCGAAGTAAATTACTAAGAACCGGCATCTTGATCCGAGCTATTCGTTACGGGCGAAATAATAAAACGGTTTTCGTTTTCTAAGTATATTGTTGTAGCAATTTAATTTCGACAAGCTTTATAAAATATGACACCAATACTCCGAAAGAATCCTCAACGCATAGTGTGTTTTAGACCTTGAAATATTTTAACTAAAATACAACGTAAACATGCTTCAAGTAAATAATAAATTAATTCAAATTATGGTAATTTCGTTGACGGTGGGAAAAAAAAACAAAAACTTTCTAGAATATTCTTGAGTATTTTCGATATCATCAAAAACGTTTAGGCATACTCTAGTAAACTTTCAAGGAGATTTAAAGGTTAATTACTATTTAAATGTGCGCCGACGAAGGAAAAAGCCGAAAACGCAATAAAAATTGTTAGTTTTTGAATGCATAACTTAATTTTATTGACACTGGATTGTTTTGCTATGCGTCCACGCATAAATATCGTCCACATAAACAATAAATATTAAAAAAAATACCATTACGGCATTAATGTTAATGCTCCTTGTCGGTTTAAATGCACGCCATAAACAACGGATAAGCAATGCGCGCGGTAATAAAAATGCACACAGCAATATCGTTTGATTATTTGCCCGTTTATACTAGGTATAATGTATACGTACATAAACGTAGGGATTATCTTTGAAATCCTCCGAAGCTTCGATATTGCATTTGCCATATTATTACTATAATAATTTATTAAAGTATATTTTATTGTTTTATTTATTTATATTTGTTTTTTTTTTACTTCCTAAACAAATATAATTTCATTGAGTAACTAAAAAAATAACGGGTTAGGTTCGCAGAGACAGGGTCTCACAGTTATTTAATTTGGCGGCCACTCAATCACAGTTTCTGCGTGACAGCGATTTAACCGGGCTCGGTCTATCTCTCTCTCTCTCTCTCTCTCTCTCTATAATGAGGAGTGTGTCCCTTTTGTGCTTGACTATTATCTCGGTTAAAATTGCCCGGAGTTAAAACGCCGACAATAAATTTCGTACATAAACGAACTTAACGATGGGCGATGGCGGTACAGCTTTTCGCGGGGCCTTTGGATATTTTGCCGGCACGCGTGTACAATGATAATAATAATAATAATAATATTATTATATAAATAGATCCGAGAAAACGTTTTCGGTTTGTTCCCACTGCTGCTCGGTTGAAAGGTGCTTTTAATGAATGGGGAATTACTCGAGATGCCGTTTAAACGGGCGCCGCACGACTTGGCCCTCGTGTTAAACGCGCCAGTGTATACCAACCAACCACGGTTTTAAGTAAATACGTTAAGTTCGCGAAAGTGCAATCTTAAATGTATTGTGTTTGTACGGCTGAAAACTTCAGCCCATCAGCCAAGCCGCATAACAATGGGGTGAAATAAATGATATCAACCGTTGATACGCTCAGTATAAGCGATATAAACTGTTATAAGCCTGTCGGTAGTTTTCTATTGTTTTGCTTAACATTTTTTTGAAATGTTTGTGGTAATTTTGTGGTTACTGTAAATCGTATCTATGATGTACAATTTGGTCGTAATATTATTATATTCTGCATATATATTATGTTTATCGCATGCATGTGCACGATCATATAATTATTATCGGCATTGGTACGTGTACTTGCGCAGTATCGTGTTATCGCGTTAGTGTCGTGTATCGTTTTGGTGTACTTGTACATCGGCTGCTGTAGTGACTGTGTCCAAGTTCCAACACTTGATTGCTTTGCGTGTGATATCTAAGGCGACCTTGAAATTCTACCGATTGTTTACACGAACCTAAAGGATAATGATATAATTGAGAAATAGTTGAAATTATTGCAACGTTTCCCGTACCGATTAAAAGCGTAGTTGTATTCACAAAAATTTAGCGTTTCAAATCGATTTCTGTACTGTCCTTCCATGCCCATAATCATCTTTAAACTAGAAAAAGTCTAAAATATAATATTATAGTACAAAATAACAATACTAATTGCGTAACATCGGATACCAGCTGATCGCAGGTCTATAGGTAATAACTAATAACCGAGAGTGATAAAACAAAATTTTAAAGTCCCCTTAGATGAGAACCTGTTGTGTAATTAAATTTCATAAAAATCACTGCATGAGTAATAAATGTTATATTATAGTCCCGAGATTAAAGTTTTGGTTATAATTCGATTAAAAAAATGTTGTCCAGTTTTGAGATTAAAAGTCCAAAAAATCTAGCCAAAAAAATATGAAATAAAGAAATAACTACCACAGCTTGTGAGGAAAGAGCTATTATTATTTTTTTGCTTTTATTGACTATATATCGGAGCCACAAACTTATATTAGAGTTGGTATACGAGTGGACAATCTATGGACTAGCTGAATAGGTATAGCTACGAAGAAATAGGCCCTGTGGTTAAAAATTCCCTTCATTGTAAAATCATAAACCATTACCGCTTTTGAGCACTGCGTCGAAATTGAAAATATTTTTAATGGATTCCATTCAATAATTGAACCAACAGCAATCGAATTGGCGAGAAAATTGATTTTAGTGTTTCCTATTTAACCGTACAATTTCCTGGTCATGTTGTTGCATGCCGATTTGGGTAGTATGTACTTCGGTTTAAATTTAGAACACATGACCAATTGAGCAATGATAATATTTTTTTTAATATAATGAAATTGGAGTTCCAGCTTTCGCATACAAGACAATGATAACAAATGGTATAATAGAGCACTATGCTAAGCAATTACAATAAAATGGTCCTAAATTAAAAAATAAAAATAAATAGAAAGAAACCTCTGCAGAAAAAAGATACATCTGATATAAACTGTCCTTTATAACATCAAGGATGTCCCCGATTTTATATCGCTACACACTAAATACATATCATTATTATTTTTATACACTTATATATTACTATTATTGTTATCATGCCAGAGCCAATTATATTAAAAATATGAAATATAATTTTGTAATTCTGACAGCAATACTAGCAACCATACTCGTGGTACCCAATGATAGTAATTTAAAAATGAAAAAACTAGAACGTT